GTGGTGGCCCCACTCTGTAGAACAAAGGTGTCAAACTCAATTTCATTGAGGGCCACATCAGAGTTGTGTTTGACTTCGGGGGGCTGGGGTGGTGGGCCTAGCTGGGGTGGGTGTTGCCTGCTCAACATCACTCATGTAAGGGGAATTAGTTCAACATCACACATGTCACGGTGGCCCGGGCGGTGCTGGGGGGATCCATTGTCTCCAGTGAGGAAGGTGAGACCAGGGAGAGCGCCAAACCCTTGTCCCCAGAGGAGCCTCACCATCCCTCTCAGGCCACGCAGAGGCCTGTACTGTAGTGCAGGCTATACAGAGCCCTAGGCAGTGGACGGCAAGTGCCCAGTCTGGCCCTTAAGGTCCCAGGGCACCAGGACCCCACAGCCCACCCAACCCAGCCCTGCTTCCCCAAGGTGGTGCCCAGCTGCTCTTACCTCCTCCCCGAGGCTGCTGCTGCTGTTCTCACTCTCCTTGGACAGTTGCTCATGGTATGTGGCGGAGGGCAAAGTGTGTGGGTCAGAAGGAGGTCCACTCCCTCTCCACGCGAGGAGATCTGGCTTTATAACCAAAGCATCCTCAATGATAGGATGGGAGACCACCAGGAGAGATCAGGAGGAGGAGACAAGGGGATGGCAAAAAGGGCAGCAAGGCTGCTGGTGACCAAGTAATAAGGCATCACTTCTCTTAACTTTAAAAAAATATGATATATTCAGATATCATGTGTGGGCCTCGAAGCAATCTGAATTCCCAGTATGAATGCTTAAAGGAGTCTCATATTTTTCTTAGGGGAAAACATGAATGAGGAGTGAAATCTTTCACCTCTACTAACTTTCATCTACATTTTGTCCATTCACTAAACCACTTTCAACAGTCAGCATGAGAACTTTGAATACCGACAACGTTGTATGATTGTTTTACTCCAAGCCAAAATCCCCTTTCCAGTTGAAAATCCAATTTCTACTATAACCTGACATTTGTAGATGGCAGAATCTGGAAGCTAAGAGAAGCTAGGAGAGGTTCATCCTGGTTGGGTGGGTGACATCCAAGGGATACTAGGCTGATTATAGGCTAAGCTGAGCAATCAGAAAAGTATTGCAAGAAAAGGCAGTGGCCAACCCCATGCTTGTTGCCAAGAAAACATATATTTCTGTAAAACCATCAGGTGCCAAGCTGAAAATGAACAAAACTTTACTCTTGTACAAATCAATGGATAGCAGGCATGCTCTTGGTTGCATCATTACTGCAATGTTATCAATCTAACCTCTCACTTTTCAAAGATGGTTATTTATAATTTACCTGGATAAATAATTTAGAAATAGGGAAGGAAGCTTGGCATCAAAGACTGCCGAAATCACCAAAAGAATCACTGCTTCTGCTAATCAGAAAAGGTGAGCTTGCTGAGTTATCTGACCAGATTTAGTTCAAAGCCTCTATATACACCAGTCTATGGCACAGCTTCAAACTTAAACCATAGTCAAGCAGCTGATTACTTAGCATGTTCATATACACAGCTTTACTTCTTCGTAAAATATTCTATATGGCATAACATGGTCAATGACCCCCAAAAAATCCATTAAAAAATTCATGGAGAATTTTTCATACTGAAATATTCTTCTTCTTTGTAGAGTTGCTATGTACAGCAAAACAGACCATCAGTATTCTACTGTACAGCATTTTACACACCATTTTACACAAAGGACTTTGGAATGAAAGATTTATATAAGCGTACATTTAGATTTGTCTTCTAATTGGCACATAGCAACAGAACATATTCTTAAGTAATCTCTAAGTCTTAGCCAAGCTGATTGCTTTGCAGTTTTGTGAAAATGGTGAGTTGCTTCCAAGTTGAGATCTGCTCTGCCAAGTTCAAGCTTGCAGCAAGCCAAGTTTTAACTTCCTGTAAATGAAAAGTCATTATGAAACACTAGGATAAATTACCGAAAGCTTGGTGCATGATACAGATGCAAGAAAATGCTGCTCTGTAGAATAATGTTCAGCTGTACCTACATTTTAACAATAAAATAATTTACATTCTGTCTCATTTTCCTCCTCATTTACATGAGAAATGTATGTCCTAGGTATTTTGTTAAAAACATGGGCTGTTCATAGGATGACTTTAAATATCAATTCAGATTACTGTAAACATATACAAAAAATTGCTTAGCTAAAACAATAAATGCATGAATAGCATCAAGACAAGAACCAACAAAATATGCAAGGAGCAAAGCAAGTGGATCAGCCATTCAGCAGTTGCCTTAAATGCCTTTTGGAATCAAATACTTCTATGTGCTCTGTCATGTTTGCTGAAAACAACTTTGGCAAAAGGATTCCAAGGTAATAAATGCAAAAAGCAGCATTTGGTGGCAAAAGTAGGATGGGCCACCAACAGGAACTTGTGGTTCTGACTTTTAAAGCTATTAATGTTTGGGGTGGAACTATCTTAGGGATCCCCCTACTTCACACATGAAGTATCTGGACCAGAGGACGTACAACTTCTTTCCAAAGTATGTCTGTTAGGCATGTGGGGAAGGGCCTTTTGCTCTCAATATATAGAGTGCATTCCCTTGCAAATTGAAACCAGTCCCTATTCTTTCTGGCTTTAGAAAAGGAGCAAGCATCTTTCCAGAGAAGATCTGGAAACCTGAAATTGGCTAATAAACATATTTTTTTTATCATTTCTTATGTTGTTTTATTGTTTACTGTTACCCACCTCTGGATAAAATCTGGCATACAAATAATAATCAATAACCACAACTTAAATACGAGTATTAAAGAATATGAATTTAGTTGCCAATAAATACTGTGTGGATTTAAATCCTATAGGTAAACTATTTTCTGCAGGTCAGTATAATAACAAGGGGCTACAAATAGCCATCAAAGTGAATAGGATACATGGAAAGAAGATTCAGCTAAATTTTATGTTTTGTCTGAATAATCTGACTAATGATTTTATTTCCAAAATGTGAGAGAATTGAAGATATGCAGTATACAGTATTTAACGAATTAATGCCAGTATCTATGAACAATGAACAATTTAGATGAAAGCATACTATATCTCCATCTCTTTTGAATACATCCCTTTCTATTGTCTCAGTGCAGTACATAGAGATACTATCCAAGGATCATGATGGTGTCAATGAGTCCACAATACTAAAATATTTCTATGGAGCCTCAATATCAAGCCATGAACCCCCTCTTTTACTTCAGTCCCAGTTGTAGCTACTAAGGGTAAAAGTTTTGTTTAGCTTCTGTCCACTCTACTGGCTTCATATCAGTGGTGAAATCCAATTTTTTTTACTACCGGTTCTGTGGGCATGGCTTGGTGGGCGTGGTGTGGCTTGGTGGGCGTAGCAGGGGAAGGATATTGCAAAATCTCCATTCCCACCCCACTCTGGGGGCAGCCAGAGGTGGTATTTGCTGGTTCTCTGAACTACTCAAAATTTCCGCTACCAGTTCTCCAGAACCTGTCAGAACATGCTGGATTTCACCCCTGTTTCATATTGACTAATATTAATTATTGCCATGTTTTTCAAACTTGGCAATTTTAAGATGTGTGGACCTTAACTGCCAGTATTCCTAAATCAGTATTGGGAGTTAAAGTCCATACATCTTAAAATTGCCAAGTTTGAAAAACACTGAGTTACACTATATAGTATACTTTAGCGCAGCAATCCCCAATTTCCAGCTCTGTGGACTGGGGACAGCGGTGTGGGGAGGAGAGGGGATGGTTTTGTGCACGCTGCTTGCACAAATGCAGCTTCACACACTCTCATACTTGACCGACTCTTGCGTGGCCCAGTTCCCAATGGGCCCCAGACTGGGGATTGGGGGACCCCTATTTTAGAAGTAACAATATTTTTGTTTCCTAGTTTACTTAGAGAATATCTTCAAAAAATGAACTCACACCCACATCTTGTAACACCTTTTATTTAACTCTTGTATTTTTTACTGCCACACAAATTCAGATATATCATTCTGCCACTGTATCAATAGTGTATCTTGTCAAAACAGGTATTGCTGAAACAAAATACTATTCTAGGAAAAACATTCATTTTTATCACAGAAATTACAAAGACAAATGTAATTTTTCCTATCTTAATATGTTCTTTTTTTTAAAAAAAAAACTTCATTCTATGCTTTAATTATTTTGAAATAACATACAGGTCATATTTGTCATAGAGAGGCCCAGATATTTTACCTTCTTCCCAAAACCCATTTTGTTCATTAATTCATTTAATCTTTTATTTTCATATTTTTGTTTACAACTTAATCTACCATTTAGTAATCTTGAAATCTGCTAATACACTAAATTCTTTTAATTTGCCTATTGATGTTTCAATTCTCTTTAAAGGATGTTCCAAAAATCAAAACCAACTCATCTGCAAAGGCCCTTAATTTATACATTTCTGGCAAAATTGAAAATTTAACAAAAATCTGAAAATCTAAAAGGACACAGAGCAGAGGTGAAAAGAGAGGCAATTATTAAGCAGGAAAAAGGATAGATCGGATAACCCAGAACTGTAAAATGGCTATAAAAAATGTGGAACACAGAAAGAGTAAAAGTTAATGAAGGATGCTAAGAACAAAGGAAAGGCAGTTTCTTTTGATACATTCAAAATAAGAAAGAGAAAACAAACAGTATATCATGTGCTCAATAAAGAAGGCAAAAGATTAAGAGATAGCAGCAACAAAAGGCAGAACTATTTCATCTCAGACATCTCTGACAAGAGGCTATGCATGGATTCCTCAGATAATGTTGAATCCAGCTTGAGCTTGCTAGAAACATAATGAGGACATATGTACTGACCTTGAATGGGTTTAAATCTTCAGGACCAGATGGATTGCAATCTGAGATCCTGAAAGAACTTGTTAATGATCTGGCTGAACCTTTGTTCATTACCACTGAGTAACTCTGGTGAATTATAAACATATTTTTGTGGGTAAGCCATTGTGTCTTCTCTTTCCCCAACTCTCTTTATTAATTTGTTCTCTTTTTTTACCAGACCCTAACCACCACTCCAAGATTGAAGGGAGAGGGAAAGGAAGATGGACGGGGAGAATGGTGTTTATTAGTATTTTAAGGTAATTTAAATATTGGTATGGTGTTATTCATTTAAATTTACAAAGAAGTTGTCCTATTATTATCTCTACTTGAAAAAGCCAGAGGTCATTTTTGTCATACATTTGTTTGACATATTATTTTCTCGACACTTTTTAACTTGTCCTGTTATCCCCCTCCCTTTTTTCCTTTTATGTTAGTTTGCATTTTAATGTTTGTTGTTGAAATTTTGTAAGGATATTTTAAAAATAAATAAATACGTTGGAACCCATTTTTATGCTGAGGAAAGTATACCCGCACAAAATAGGAAACTCTGTCCTGTTAAATGGGAGAGAGGGAGGGAGGGGGAAAGAGAGGAGGGAGAGAGAGAGATGGTTTGGTGTAGTGATTAGGGCATTAGGCTAGAAACCAAGAGGTTCTGAATTCTAATTCCAGCTTCAGCACAAAGCCAGCTGGGTGTCCTTCAACTTGTCACGCCCTCTCAGTCCTAAGAAGGGGGCAATGGCAAACTACTTCCCAAAAATCTTGCCCAGAAAGCTGCAGGGATTTGTCAACACTGATTCAAGGGGACAAAAAGAGAGGAGAGGAGAGGAGAGGAGAGGAGAAAGACAAATTTGTACTATCTTAAAAAACAAAGAAAAAAAGAGACCGGGATAACTACAGACCTATCAGCCTTTATTGTCTTAGAAATTTCTATATTACTTATAAGAAAGTTGAATATAATGAAATGATTTTAGAAGCCAGCATGCCTTTGTAAAGAACAAGCTTTTTCAGAGGAATCTTAATTTTTGATTAGGTAACTTCCTTAAAAGAAATGTGGGAGTTCAGCTCCAGTTTATGTTGTGAGTTCAGCAAAGCTTCTGAAAATAACCTCCTGATACTCCAATTAGGAAAGTATATCAATTCACAAGCCACAAAATCCATGAAGATCAGAAATAGAAGGTAACAAAGATATAGTTTAGAAAACTATAGTATAAAACTTCAATTCCCTCTTTCCTTGCATGCAGTGAGACTGGACTGATCTCAGAGAATGGTTTGCAAATATTATGTTTACTGAACTCACTTAGGTATACTCATGACCCCAGGAATTTTCCACACACTGAAAAATAAAAGCACCATAGGGATTGTTTGCAGGCAACAACTTTGACATCTGTAAGACTTGTGGATGTCAACTCCCAGAATTCCCCAACTAGCATGGCTGGCTTGGGAATTCTGGGAATTGACATCCACAAGTCTTAAAGTTGCCATAGTTGGACACTCCTGCTTTAGATCATTCCAACGTACAATATACTGCCCATGTTGGTAGACTGGCTCTACCATTAGGCAGAGTGAGGCAGCTGGCTTAGGTGGTAGGTGTAGGGGAATGGGGATAATGGCAAAGTATACAGGTGTGTGTGCCAGATGGCCTCCTTGGAGGAGCAACAAACTATGTTGTTTCATTGCCAATGTTAAAATAAGTTACAACTATTAACCAGATATGCCTCATATATGTAATGGAAAGATGTACACCATCTTTTACAGTATTACCTATGCAAAATGTCCTGGGCTAACCCTACACTCCAATTAAGCATCAGATTTCGTGAGAAAAAATGCATAAGAATCCTTTCTAAAATATCAACCATAAAATGCTAGCCAGATATGTAGATGAATGGCAATCAAAAAGAGGCCCCAGGGCCTGCTCATTTGCCCTACATTTGACTGACTGAATGCAGAACTGTTTCTTCCACCTCATGCAAGTTACTCTTCTACTCCCCCACCCCCCAAAAAAGAGGAAAATCTCATTTGAGAGCCTTAATTTATGTATTGATTTTCCTAATTTTAACTTGTACAATTGGCAACATCTTGGGAATTAATTTATTGATGATTATGTACCATTATGATGGGGTTGACTCTTAGTAACCAGATAGATTTTCTCCATGAAAATGTGTGTGTATACACACACCCATAATTATAGCTTAGTTGTAAAATGTCAGCTCTTCTGCCAGGAATTTTTTTTTTTAAGTTCCTCTATTCAAAACTAATGAGGTCAACTGAGGAAACCTAATAACTTGCTCTTTCCTCCTAATCAAGGTAGCTTCCCATCATATATGGCTCTACTCTAGTTTCAGTGTTGCAATTATCTCCTTCTGGTGACAATTACCCCATTTTCTGGAAATGTATATGTTACTACATAAACCCTGGTTGTAGTTCTTAATTCTCCAGTTGTTCTCCATCTAATATTGTCTATTGTCTGACAATATTCTGACTGGCAGACTTCAATATTTTATTATTCTGACTGACAGACTCCCCTGGGGAGCTTGTAGGCTTTTCCATTGTTTCCTGTTTGATTATTTTAAACTGGGATTAAATTTCTATATACAAATATTGTCCTCTACTGAACTCTTGTCTCCTTTTGTATGTATTGCTTCGGCAATACAATTTAAGGTTATACAAACTGTTCTCTAGATTTCTCACCTCTGGCTTCCCCCTTAGCTCTTCCTTCTTTTTGATTGAATTCAGATGCCTTTTTAATACAAGACATCCATATGAAATATTCTGCACGTCAACAGATATGTACAGACTGCCTGGTGGTACTTTCTGCTGATGATTATTTACACAAGCCCAGTGGCAGGTTTTACAGCCCTGCCTGTGTGAAATTCTACTAAGGATCAATGGGAAAAAATATAAAACTGGCCTGCTTTCCGTAAATTTTCTTTCTGCCAACAAACATTCTCTTCCTTTCTTTCACCTAAAATAAGCTTCATTCAGGCACATAAATGACAAAAGAGAAAATAGCACTTAAGTATGCACTGGCACGTGTTGTGTGTTATATAGCTTTTATCAAAACTTTTCTTGAAAAACACTCATTTGCAAAGTCAGAAAAAATGTTGACCTGTATCTTCCATGACCTAACAATATGTTCCCCGGGCAATCTGCAGCCAAGGTCAAATTAACCCAGGTTACAACCCAAAGTGCTCAAGATTCATTTACATTGAACTCTTGAGAGCTACACTGTAGGGCTGCCAAGATCTACAGCTGATCTACATTAACTGTGTGTCAGCTCGGTTGCAATGCTCTGCTTTTTGGGTTGCTTTGCTTTGTGGGCAAAAGCAAAGTAGTACTGGCTTAGCATTGCTGGGAGTTTCTTCCCTTTAGATTCTAGACAGAACAGTAGTGACAAACCGAGCAAGCACCCAAAGCAGCTAATAAAAAGAAACAAAAGAACATCTAAAATAGAGAAGATAAAGAAAAAAATGTCAATGGGTTTGTTAATAATTAAATGGTATTCACTGCATAGTCACTCAGTCTGTCCCTAGTCCAAGTTCAATATCTTTTCTGAGTACATATACCTCTAACTTGGTATGCTTTTCTCTTTGATAGGGTGAGGAGAATATTTCTCCTCTTGGAGAAAGGTATCAAAGCAGTTCCCTATTTTCAAATAATGTATTCTGAGTTCTTTAGAAATAGCATTTTCTACGCTTTTTTTGTTAATCAAAATCTGGTTTACAATCAAACCATGGCGTTAAGGTATTAGCTGGATAAAAATAAGAGTATCTTTATTGTTAAGTTGGGTGAATGAGGACGCAGCAGGCCAGGCAATGAGTGACAACAGCTCTTTATTGTATGGTGAGAACCCCGCGACTGACCAGGAGAAACAGCTCCCTTTATATACCTTGCAGCTGTGGTGGTCAGCCAATCAGCTGACCGTCAGTTAATTCAAACTGCCTGCCCAAAATCTACATACATAACATTTATGATTTGGGTTTTCTTTAAAAATATGAAATGGTATTAATAGAATAGAATAACAGAGTTGGAAGGAACCTTGGAGGTCTTCTAGTCCAACCCCCTGTTTAGGCAGGAAATCCTACACTTCAGGAAACCATTTCAGACAAATGGTTGTCCAACTTCTTCTTAAAAATTTCCAGTGTTGGAGCATTCACAACTTCTGGAGGCAAGTTGTTCCACTGTTTGTTCTAACTGTCAGGAAATTTCTCCTTAGTTCTAAATTGCTTCTCTCCTTGATTAGTTTCCACCCATTGCTTCTTGTCCTACCCTCAGGTGCTTTGGAGAATAGCTTGACTCCCTCTTCTTTGTGGCATCCCCTGAGATATTGGAACACTTAATGCATCTTGTATTATAATAGAAGTTTTCTTTCACCGATCTGAATAAAGACAAAAATAGTTCATCCATAAAAGAAGTACTCTGTCAATTGTAGTCAAGGTGATCGCATAAGATGGGGTTGCTATTAAGTTGAGCAGTGATTAAATTTCTGCATGGCTTTCATTATGCATGAAGAAGGCTGGATTAGATAACTAAGATTCCCTATTTCCCATTGAAGGGAAGTAAATGGGAAAAAAGTTTAAAGCATACTATTAAAAGAACTGATACGTGTCTCTTACTACTTTTCTTCAGAATATGGAAGAATAAAAGAAAATTATCTGCTCATCTAATATATCAGTCCATGACCATCACCTTTGCAGCCTTAGTTTAAGGAAGAAATTTGCAGATGAAATCTATGTTTATTATAAGACCTTTCATCTCTTCCCTTATAAGGATAAGTTTAAGTAAACATCCACATTAGAACTGAGTAGTGCAGAGATTTATTCCAATTTAAGGCTTTCCTGAAGTTATTTTTTTTTTCCATCCACATATGGCAACTTTCAAATGACATTTGATATACAGTCTCTGACTTTGGAGGTGTGCATGTTACAAGTGGCTTTAAATTATAGCAAGATAAATTAATAGATTGTTAAATGAATTCAATTTCTCCCTTTAGAAAGTGTGGTAAATTTCCACAGGCATATGAGTCACTCCAGGCAGTCCTACATAGATAGCTACCACAGCATTCTTGATTGAAATGGGATGATTAGGGGAAGCAGCAAGTGAGTTTTGAAAACTGAACCACAAAATAACACTGCAATCAGACCTAAGTAAGAAAAGTATTGGAATAATTAACTAAGTTATATATGTGTGAATGCTGGATTATGAAATGGTTTGACGTTTGCTCCTCTGTTTCAGCTTGAAGATTAATTGCTTAACAACTTGCTGACTGCCAAAGGAATCTTCCCAAGAAATTGGGCTGGACACTCTTCTAATCCCAACATGAAGGGAACACCCGGAAAAACACCTGTGGCAACAGCAATACTAGAGCAAGATGGTGAATGAAATAATAATTGAATTATCTTGGATGATCAGATTCCAGTGATAGATGATAGATGATAGATGATAGGTTATTGCTTTCTAATCACTTTATGTAGAACAGATAGGAAAGGAAAAGACACCACAAAAAAGAGAGAAAGCCTTCAGCAGAATTGGACATTTTTGAGAAACCTTGAGCCTTTCATACCAGTGTGAATGTGAGTTCATAAAATGACTATTAAGAGTTGCCTTACAGTGAGATAGATGGAAAATAACTTTAATAAAATAAATTTAAAAGGATAATCTGTAATTTAGCCCAATGTTTATCAATCATGTAAAAATTCTGGTGTCCATCCAAAAGTCTGGACTTTGGCTCAGCAAGATGATAATGTTCAAAGGCATCATGTAAGTGCAAGAAACTTAGTAGAGGTACACAAACTTGGTAAAGCAGCCATGAAGGCCTTGGAAAAGATATTCAGATGTTGGAATGTGTCTATATAAAAATCAAAATTATGCAGGCAATTGTTTTCCCTGTGATAATCAATAGAAGCAAAACTAGACTTTGAAGAAGCAAGAGAGGAGGAGAATTGGAAGTGTTGGAGAAAACTCCTGAAAATACAATAAAACAAATGGATCATCCAATGAATCAATCCAGAGTTCTCACTCAAGGCACAAATGATCGGGCTCAAGTTACTCTACTTTACATTATGTAAAGGCCTAGCTCTCTGGAAAGAGCTTTAATTTTGAGAAAGAGGGAAGGAAAGAGAATAATCAGCAACAAAGTATACAGTGATAACGAATCAGTGGTATTCAGCCGGTTCTATCCAGTCGGACGAACCGGGAATAGCGGCAGTGGGAGGCTTCACCCACCAGCCCGGATGTAATCACGTCCCGTTTTTGATGCTTTGTGCATGCACAGAAAATCCTGCACGCATGCTCACTTTTGTGAACCGGTAGTGAAGGTAAATGAATACCACCCCTGCAATGACTATACCATTGCAAGAGAAGACCTGGTTAGAGCAGGATTATCATAAAGAAGTCAACCGCAACTTGAGGGCACCTAATCATAATCAATTAAATGCAAGAGAGAAAGAACACAGGTGAAAATTGGACTATTGTAACTAAAAACTACTGGATTTTCATTTTTTTCACAATTTTTACTATCATTTCCAACTGTTTCAAGTTTTTATTAATCCATGGTGATGTACTTAATAATTGTTATTGGGCTACAAATGTTAAGCAATCCAGAGAGCGTAGGAATATTATTCTGTTTAAGTGTTGTCTGTTACAATGCATACAGAAACTGGAGCAGGGACAATTGTAAAGACAACATCCTCCCAAAAAGAGATATTATAGACCACAGTTTGCAAAAACAAAAAGATTGTGAGGTTTAATGTCTCCATTGGTATGCTATAAATTTTATAGGCCCTATTAACAAAATTTCAAAATCAAGACTCTGAACCTTTTAAAAATTATGGTTTAGCACCGTTAGAGGGCAGAAAGAATGCCAGAAATGAATCATTTGGACACAAAGCAGTTCCAATGTCAGTCTTAGGGTTAAATTACAGTCCCAAACTATATCAAGTACTGAAACAGAAATAAACCTAGTAGGAGTAAAATAAAAGGTTTAAAGCAAACAGTCTAGATTACATAATTGTTAAATTAGCCATTCTTTGCAGCAGATAATTTCTATCTGCATGATGGTCTTTAAGTAAAGTCACAAAGAATACGGCAGATGGTTTTATGTCCTCTGGGTTGCAACAAAGGGTAGGAAGCTGACTTTGCCAGCCTCCCTACTTTCCAGCAGAAATGATCCCCTTCCCCATGTTGGCTTTTAGGAAGCTCACCCATTCCCATTCCTTTTAGCCCAGTGGTGGGTTTCAAAAATTTTTACTACTGGTTCTGTGGGCATTACTTGGTGGGTGTGGCATGGCTTGGCTTGGTGGGTGTGGCTTGGTGGGCGTGGCAGGGGAAGAATACTGTAAAATCTCCATTCCCACCCCACTCCAGGGGAAGGTTACTGCAAAATCCCCATTCCCTCCCTATCAGCTGAGACTCGGGAGTCAGAGAATAGATAGGGACGGGGCCAGTCAGAGGTGGTATTTACCGGTTCTCTGAACTACTCAAAATTTCCACAACCAGTTCTACAGACCTGGTCAGAACCTGCTAAAACCCACCCTTGTTTTAGCCCCTTTTCAACGCCTAGGTGTACCATGGGGATAGAATATAAAGTGAAAAGGAAGCTGAAATGAAATATCTGGGAGTTCATCTTTGTTTCAGGAGCAAAGGAAAAAGATTAATATTCAGTTAATCTTCACAAACCCATTGACACGAACAATTGGCCGTTGAGGCCTTAATTTCATTAAGGAATTAGATTTCTGGATTAGCTGTCTGTATCATGATATTTATATTGGGGTTACTAGGAATGGGTTGTAAATATCCAGAGAACTCCTGGATGGCAACAGAGAATTTTCTATATCTCTTTCCTATCATGTAATGGCCACTGGAATATTTGCCTTTCACATCTGTTAGCCCTAATTCTTATTACTCAGATCTCCTCTTCGGTGAAACAAACTGGGGGAGGGGGGAGAGAGAATTAAGGCTTTACTCAGAATATAGTAGGCTTGAAAGAATCCAAATTTTGAATTTTCTTCATAAAAGGAAACATCAGGGCTACTGCTGGCTGTTTGACTCATTAGACCATCCAAACACCATGCTCTGAGTCTGGGTCAATGATGATAGGAAAATGAAAGATAATAGAAAGGGTGCAATTTGATTCCTCACTAGCTGATCCATCCTGTTGATGATTTTCCTACCAATGTGTCAGATTGGCATACATGAGAGCAGTGTTCCAATATTTAAGGGTTTGCCATAAAGAAGAGGGAGTCAAGCTATTCTCTAAAGCACCTGAAGGCAGGACAAGAAGCAATGGGTGGAAACTAATCAAGGAGAGAAGCAACCTAGAACTAAAGAGAAATTTAGAACAATCAATCAGTGGAACAACTTTTGCCTCCAGAAGTTGTGAATGCTCTAACACTGGAAGTTTGTAAGAAGATGTTGGACAACCATTTGTCTGAAGTGGTTAAGTGCCTAAGCAGGGGGTTGGACTAGAACACCTCCAAGGCCCCTTCCAACTCTGTTGTTATTCTGCATGAAAACATAAATATTTATATCATTGGGCAATCAGAAAGAACTTTGGTAGATTTAGGGAAGTTGACTCAATTTACTCACTAAAAACAGCATTTTAAAATATTTAATCCACAGAGGACATTAATACTCAGTAAAGGCTTTGACCTCTATATACTCTGCAATGTCCTTGTTCCCAATGAGTTGCTTTTTCCAAAAGAACATTGATTTTTTTTATGCAAGGTAACAAGGGGATGACAACAAAAATGACAAGACACACGAGCAGAGAATTGTGTAACTTTAACAAGCCATAAACTCATCTTGTCCTATTTCATTTATATTGGTCATTAATTTTGCCAGTTCTTCCACCTGAGCCCTTTTCAAGTTAAGGTATTAATCATGGATTCCATTCTGAGCCAATCTCCCTTACATTGCTTCAAACGCTAAATTATGCAATTGCTATCAATGCTATATAAGCAATAGAAGGGAAAGTGTGAAACTTCTGATAACACCTCTTCTCTTCTTTTCACTATCCTAATTCCTAATCAGGAAAATACGTTTTGTTTTTAACTTGACTTTTGAAGGACCACACCATGACTTGCAAACCACATTTCTGTTTAAATTTCAAAGCCACCTCAACCAATTCCCATTAAGTTAGAAGAACAGTTTGTGGTTCTGAGGCACCTCCCATTTGTGGTTCATAAATCATCTCTCATCGATGTAAAACCATCTTTGTGAGCAATTGAATGGCTTTTCCCTTCTTATTACTTCTATGTAAACTTGCAGAAACTAATCACAGGTTCTACAGCGTCTTTCAATTCTTCGACAAAAATGGAACAAGGTGTTACCTTTGCATCAGTAACTTATTATTACAATACTTATTATTGTAAATAGGTGCTTAGCAGCTTCACTAGGTGGATTTAGAACTCCCAGTAGATCTCTGGATGTTTTGCAACCAATAGGCAAAGGTTTTGCAAAGACAATTGCAAAATTATTTTGCATGAATTATTTTGTCAATATTTCTTGTTATTTCTTCTATATTCAGTTAGAAATAGTAATTTCAAGTTCTTGTCCGATGTATAATTAAATTTGAGGGAGGGAGGGAGGGAGGGGAAGGAAGGAAGGAAGGAAGGAAGGAAGGAAGGAAGGAAGGAAGGAAGGAAGGAAGGAAATTACTACCAATCTGTACTTCCCAAATTCAATAGGTGTACTTGCTACAAAGCTGATAAAGATGATGTACTTGTAATGGAAAAACAGGATGTAATTTCTAAAAGTAGAGAGTTCTAAATCCAGCTTTAAAAAAAAAGGCTTGTAAAGCAATTCCTTGAATAGAGGAATCTCTCTTTTATATTCTCTCGAGTTTCTTAAAGTATTCCTCCAATTTATGAAAAACTTGGCAAATTTGGGGACATTCTTATCAAAAAACTAATTAAATGAAAATTTTATTTAACTCTAGGAATAGTGAGCTCTTTATACCATTGGTATTTAGAATACTTCCTGGATTTAAAATGCTTTAATATGTTTCATTCTTCATTCTTCAATCACTCCAGGAGATTTCTCAGGTTTCAACTCAAGGCATTTCTGTTCATCCTATGAAGATTTAAAATACATGTTTATACTGAGCGGATAAACTATTTAATGGAAATAGGGATATTAAACCCTGAATATAGTATTGCTTTTCAACTGTTAAGTTGCAAGAAATATATCAAGATTCTTGCAATTACATTTCAGATGGGCATAAGTCTGATCCATTTCTGCCCTGAAATGTGTTTGTATGTTGAGGAAAAAAATTCAACTTCTATTAAATTATTTCTTTTCTTTCTCTTTTTTTCTTACTCCAAGCTTAATGAAAAGGGAAAGTGAAAAATACATAGGTGGTTCCCTTTTCTCAGTTCCATTATGCACCATGAATTTTCAGAAAGTTGTTCAGGGAATTCTAAATTACAATTTCAAGTTCACATTT